CACACATACATCCACCCTCCATAGAGCAGATTGGTGTGGCTTCTCCATTCTACTCTCGCTCCCCGCCAACATGGAAGGCGGGCATTCTTTCCTAGAGAGCGATTGCTTTGTTTTACTACGGCGCACACTTAGAAAAGCTCTCTTCACAGCGTTTTGTACGAAGCTGGACGATTGGGGGCGTTGATAGACACACTTATTGCACGAACAAGACCTGCTCGTGGAGAGTAGTGGATACGGATTTCCTTTTTCTTTGCTTTTCCTCTTTCTCCTTGGTCTCTTTCTAGCTGGTGCTGGTTTTCGTTTGGATAACGTACAACCGCAAGACATAAAGGTTGAGACTATGCATGGACGGGGGAGACGGCGGCATATGGGACTGGCGTTGGTTTTGTTTATGATTTTTTAGGTTTGCTGTTCTTGGGCCGGTTTTGCTCTTTTATGCGCGACCCTGCTCTCCGCTTTACCGCTTTTTGCTCCTCTTTACAAATGCTATCGTCATGGCAGCACTCTTCCTCCCCAGCAATTTCATTCATCTTTTTGGATTCCACGATGGGGGACTCCCCGAACACCTATGGTGGTGAGAGTGGCCTTGGCACTCACTCCCCCTCTTACCTTCAATGCCCCTTGCTTCTTGCTGTGCGGCTCTGCTCAAATGCGACCACCTCATTTCTCTTCCCCTCGTCATGTCGAGCTCTGCGTTTCTCTTTCCTAACATCGCTGGCTCTCCTACCGATCATTCTTGGCTCTTTGGCTTCATCGCTACACGAGAATGCGCAATGACAGAATTACGGCCGAGAAGAGGTTACAGCGCTAGATTGCTTGCTTGGTAGATTAAAATGGGGCGTGGCTTCTAATTGCTTGCTTGAAAAAGTAGTGGTAGAACAGAAAAAAGAACTACAGAAGCTGGTGGAATGGTTTAGTAATGCGTGCAACAACTGCATTCAATCAAGATTTTGAGGTGACTGATTGACTGTGTTGGGGAGATGGAAGGGAGGCGACTTGTCGTTTGCCACGATGTGATGGGACTGGAGGTCACACGCAGGCAGAGCGAGCCATCAGCGAAAAAGTGGCACAGCTGCATGCATGCAGCCAACCAAGGGGGCTACCTACCTACGTACTTGCAGAATGCAAGATAAACCAACAACCAACCTGGGAGTCCTCCTCAACGCCTTGGCTCCATCGTCATCATCATCATCGCTCTTCATTCTCCACCACCCACCCATCCATCCCACTCACCCTCTCCAAATTGCACAGCGCAGCGCTGGCGGGCTGCAACCAACCCGCCCGTTGTTGCATCTTTGCCTCTTCCGGCCCTTTTTGCGCACCGACGTCATATCTACCCCACGCCGGGGCCCCCGGCCTGCCCGGCCCACCCCACCACCTCCAACTTCAGGGCCCATTGCGATCGTCCACTCCGCAATTCCCCTTCTTTTCGTCATGTTAGCGCAGCATTCCATTCGTCTCTGAACGTCGTGTCGCTGCGCTGCGGGCGTGGGGCCCCGCAAACGTTGGCGCGAGTGCGTGCGACTGTGGGTAGTGAAGTCGGTGCGTGCGTTAGTGGGGAGAGGAGACGAGAGGCTGCGTGCGGACAGGCGGCCTTTGGACGGCGATGAGAAGGGCCGTGGTGAGGGAGGGGCTAGGTGTGGAGGAGTTGATGAGTTGTGGGGGTTGCGGAGATGGTGGCAATAGAGTAAAGAGCTGGTGACGTTGGGCGGTCCGGTGGCAGCAGGTCAGGATTGCGTTTGTGAGTCTGTGCGGTATGCATGTGCTTATGCCTTCTTTGGGGAAGTCGGGCACAAGGGGGAGAGACACTTGGTCTGTGGGTTTGGGGTGAGTATAAAAGACCCCCTGCTCGGCGACATGCAGGTCTGCAGACGATGGCGCGCTGCCCGCGGCAGCTTGAAGGGCAAGCCTAAGAGCTTTCAGAGGACGTACTGTGTCTCTTCAGACAACACCCGAAACATCTACCAACTGTTTGGAGGCTTTGGGTTTGCTGCCAATCTTACTGAGTTGTACCGGCGTGCTTCTGGGCCAATCTCATGGCCACAATGAAATGATTGCTTTCAATGTTTGACGATTGGGAAGCCGCTATCCATTTATGCTTGCCAATGGACAGCAACATCCCCCTGACTTGTCCCCTTCGCAAGAAAATACTTTCGCTCATCCAACATTCCGCCCGCGCGCAAAGAAAAGGCATGTTCTGCGGGTTCCCAAACTCCAAGCCAAGACAGTCGCCTTGCTGTCGACCTTGCAACCTTGGCTCTGCTGGAGTAGAAGTTGGAGTGAAGGACCAGTCACGTGGGATGAATTTATATGTGAAATGTCCCTGGGCTTGGGAGCGGGGGCTCGTATGCGGTCTGTGAATCAGGGGTCAGAAGGTCAGATCTGGGTTTAATCATCGGGGAATTGATTTGGAGGTGCACGGGGAGGTTTGGCATGTGCTGTGGCTGTGCTATTGGCTGGGTATTGTGCCGAGCGTAGAATGAGCGTCAAATGACTGCTTTTCTTCTTTTGATTAAGATCCATGCAGTGTCTGTAGAATGCTGAATTCAGATGCTTGACGAAATGGACGTCGCCTGTGGTGGCCTCCCGAGCTCCGAATGTAGGACTGACTCTTGATTTCTTTATTTGGGAAGAAATAAAGAACATCGGTGAGTTTCGGCGTTGCTACCTCATGACGGAGCAGACTTTGGCGGGTCAGTGGTGTCGAACCACACAGCAGTCGGCAACAAGCACTCCTAGAGTCCTTTGTTCAGGACCAAAACTGCGAGGCGAAAGGGGAAGAGACGGGAGGCAAAGTAGTTCTGGAGTTTCTCATCACCAACAGGGGCAGTCAGTCGCTCCTGTCAGTACTACTGTCTGTAGTCGATACTCATAGAACACTTTTCATGGAGAAAGAGCTTAAGTCTAGTTGCCTTTATAGACGGCCGGCGGTGGTCAGTTGACCTCGACGGCCGTGGAGATTTGGCATGTGCGGCAATCATGTGAGGCCGAAGGAAGCGCGGCAAGGTATAAAGGATACTTAGACTGCTTTCCTTTGCTCTGCATCCAACGACTCTTGGTATTTTCGAAGCTTGCGGGGAAAGCTTCAGCTCCAAGCTTATGTACTCTGTTCTCTGGCTTCTTCTCCCCGTATAGTCGCACAAGTAGGCGGTTTAGCATATGAGTATGAGGTCGATTAACAATGCGAAGCATAATTCTCTGAAGATGATGATGAATCATTTGTCCCTACAGAACCGAGGGACTCCCTTTTGATACTTCTTGAGTCCCCTGGTAGCAACTCCGCATCCAACAGTCCACTGCCCCAATTTTATTGCAAATGCTGACTTCTTGTTTCTTTGACCCTTTGGTAGGTCACATGAAGTTCCAAACGGGCAGACATTTTGTCTGTGTGTTTAGAATCACCTGCACCAATCGTTTTCCGCCTTCCAGTCACCTGGCCTGGGAGTCAGGGGTTGAGATTCAAGCTGCTATAAAATCACACCTTTTCTTTCCGTTCTCCACCTCTTCACAACCCACAACCAGTTTGGGAATCAGGAGGGTAACATACCACGATCTACGGTCAGTACTGACCTCTTGGAAAGTAACCGCTTCGACTTTGGTTTTGGGAGGAGGGCGGGCTTGCTTCAGTTGCTTTCGTAGGCATGCAGTTATGGAGACTCAACTTAGTGAATAGTATGAGTTATTAGTGATAGCATTCAACTTCTTTGCTCCATCATGAAGCCCTTGTACGGGAAATGGGTGACTCTAGAAAGCGCATGGTCTTGACCAAAAATTTGTCAAGGGAGTAGCTGGTTTCTTCGACAAACTTCGACGTCCTGCAAGCGAGCACAGTGGATGACAGAAGAAATGTGAATTACTAGGCTTCTGTACAGCCAAGTTAGACTCTAAGGAGCTAGGGAGTATTCAAGCTCCTAGTAATTAGGAGATAGAGAAAATCTACTTGCCAACTACAAGGAGTCATCGGCTTCCGTGCTATGACTTGCAACAAGCCTCGGCCGGTCAATAATTTCTTTCGTCACTTACTGCGCTTGTAAGACACAACCGGCAAGGCAATGAGCCTCACTCACGTCGCTCTCACCACAGCAGTCCACCAGATCCACAAAATACCCGGACCCATCACACCACTCCAATCTCTTCGGCCGACAACCAACAACTTCATCAACCACATCAGCGCCAAACATCGACTGACGGCTCCCTTTCCTTTTCGTGTTACCAGTCCATCTCCCTCGCCTTATCTTTCGCACAGCCGCAGCGCTCAGGAGACGGCCATTCCAAACGAGCCGCCCATTTCGGCACCACGTCATATGATGTCGGCACACCTTATCACCAGCGAGCCTGTCACCGGCAAAGCTGCGCGACACGGTACCGCAGAAAGTATTCAGGGCAGCTGCAGCTGCAGAAATGTCTTTCCTATTGTTGACCAGCTACCAGGGAGCGAGACCTGCGTTTTCAGGGGGCGCGATGCGTTGTTGTGCGTGGCTTGATGTTGTTGACACGGCGGACACGGAGATGCCGGTAAGCGGCGGGATCGAAAGTTGCTGATGCGTTCCTAGCAGATGGTTTCGAAGTCTGGAAAAAGGTGTAGTCGTCCATTCATTTCCTCAGAGATCGAGTGTAGCCCCATGGCGATGACTTACCAATTGACAAGACGAGAAATGAAATGACGCGCATCGGGAGTCTTCGTCTCACCAACAAACTCATCTCGTTGCTCTCAAGGGTAAACATGGCCAGATTTCCTCCATTCCAAGATGTAATACCGCGACTTCCTGAACCGACAAACGGAGAAGGAGTCACGCCAGCAATCCGGAACTCACAACGCTCCCGCCCAAACACGACAGCACAATTGCTCCGCTCCCATGCTCTTTACTGGCCTTCACTTCCCGATGTCGAGCCGCCCCTGGGACCGACAAGCTCGCACGTCCCTCGGCACCAGTCATCCTCCAACATCGCTACCAGTGAACAACGATGCAAAAAGAGGTATGGAGAGCAAAAAGTAAGAACAGGTCAGCCAGGAATTGAACCTGGGACTTGTCATGGGAAAGACTGCGGCCATGACATATGTTACCACTACACCACCGACCCTGGGTATAAAGTAGGAGCCACAGCACCTTTTCATATACCAACAACCCCTTTACACCAAACCCGGAAGCGACGGAAAAAGACTCACAGAAAGAGGGCGCTCAGATGGCCTGTGCCCCTGACCTTACCTTTCTCACACTTCGCTACCACTCAACACCATCGCACATCTGATTTCCAAAAAGACAAGAATGGAGTGGCAAAAGAGAAAGGTCAGGTCGGCCAGGACTCGAACCTGGGACGAACCGTGGGAAAGACTGTAGCCACGGCACATGTTACCACTACACCACCGACCCTGCTGTATACTAGAGGGCTGTCGCGACTTTTCTTATACCGCACCCTAGCACAGAAAATGACAACGTGCAACAGGAAGCTTTTACGACGAGCCAACATCCTCGATTCCGATTTTTGACTCTCACAAATGCCGTGGGCTCTCATTATCAGCCCCGTCGATGCCCTTGTCTTCTTCTCCTGCAGCCGAGCATCGCAGTCTCGGTGCAGAATGTGGATTCATCGCGTCCGGAATCATGGCCGCGCATGTCGCATACTTCAACACAAAGTGATACCGCGGACATTAAAGGAAATTGAAATAAAATCAGTGAGAAAAAGAGACTTTTAGGGCGAAGATGCTCGCCTACCCAAGGAGCCAAGAGATGAAGAGGCACGCAAGAAAAGAAGAAGACAAGGAGAATATCTGAAAGAACGAGCCGGAGACATGAGACTTACGAACAGCCCTACGCGGCACCAAGACAACTCCTCGAACTCACAGCACAACGATCACCACCATCACCGCTGTCGGCCTATCCCTCTGTTTACTATTCTCAGCCCAGCACCCGCGTCTCCCCGCGTCCCTCGCGTCACCCGCGCAAAGCGCGTGGCACGCGCGCAACCCTGTCTCACCCGCCGTCGTGTCCACATTCAAGGAGCCGCGTGCCTCGCCTTTCGCCGCATGCCTGCCCCGTTTAGTTCGTTCGTCAGTCCGTCTGTCGCGTGGCAGACGAGCAGGCGGCGGGCGTGGCAGACGTGGCGCCAGTAGCGCCTGCTGTGGCGCTGGGCCAAGTCGAGGGACGAGGACCCAGGTGTTCGCAGGAGTAGGTGAGCTGCTGGTTTGTCTCGGAAGAAAAAAAAAAGGAGAGACGCCAGGGTCTGGTGTAATTGAGGTGGTGTTGACGAGCGGTGGAGCAGTTTGAAGGAAGAGAAAGGTTAATACGCGCGCAGTGCGTCGAGTTTTAGATGAGGAAGAACGCTCTGCTGCTCGATCTCGGCCCAGTCTCTCCATTCCCCAAGCTCTTCATTTTCGTCGTCTTCACTCAATGGTCACCGCGTGGCCACGCCACGAGCCCCCCCCCTCCCCCCCCGTCCCCAACGCACCGCAGCACCGTCCAACAAGACGACCAAATTAGCAAGCAAGACATGTCCAATGCGCAATCCGGTGGCTGGGAACCAGGCAGGCAAGTGGCTGCGGTAGGTAGGACGCCAGCCGCGGCAGGCTGGCGTGTAGCGCGTGCGGTGGCGGGTTCGCGTGGCTTGCCCTACGCAGCGAGCACCTAGCTAGGGACCTAGAGCAAGGTACCCGGAAGGAAGGACGCGTGTGCGCGCCGCACAGCGCATAGGTGCGCCTAGCGCGTTGTTTATGCTTTGCACTCGGGGCGCGGATCGCGCGTCCAGCTCATGATTAGGAAAACGACAATGCGCAGTGTTTGATGAAGAGGAGCGGCGTCGGACTTGGTTGTCTGTTTGGTGTTGGTTGCGGATGTGACGGCGGCGGCGGCGATGTGATGTGATGGGATGGGATCAGGATACCTGCATGGGCGGATGGATGTTGTGTGACTCTTTCCCCTACCACCCTCCCCGCCACCGACAAAACGGCCATCAGTCATTTGTCGTTAATTATTGTCGAAGGTCACGATGATGTAGAACTTTTAGTGCAGATAGACTATGGTGTGAATACCTGAAAGCCCAAGACGAGAGGCGTACATACGTACGGGAGCTCAATCTTCAGGTCGGCTACAAAGCTATCCTATCGTAAATGTAATTGAAGCGTGGGGTGCGTCGCGCTGATGGCAACTCCACGGCCATCCACCGCCGCCTGTGGACGAAGGTCTTGCAGAGGCGAGAGTGATCCAAAGTTGAAAGCCTCGGTGAACCCCGACAGACAATCAATGGCGCAAGCAGCGACAGTCAACCAAGCCCTAGGAGAAAGCAGCACCAGGGAAAATTTTGAGCTCCAGCTTCTGCAAAAGCGGCGGCTCCAAGCGCCAAAACCTTCTCTTGACGCACTCCAGCAAAAACGAGCGCAAGTAGAAGCGAAAGACGTGTCGTCAAAGCGACTCCAGCAAGAGCGAGGGGAGGGGAGTATAAAAAAACGGCGATCCAATCCCATCGTAACGGTATCATCATAAGAGCTGAGAGCAATAAACGCGTCGTCCAGCTAGCCATCCGAGCATCGCGTCCGGTCCATCCGTTCCAAGACAGCCGTGAAAAACGTTCGCCCTTTCCAATCGTAAAACTTTCCGTTTCCTTTCCGTCTTTCGTCATCATCTTCTTTCTTGGTATAGTGCCAGCCCAAAACCAAGCAAAATATTAGGCAGTCGTGGAGTCATCAAATCCATCACACGAGAAGGGAGGAAACAGAGAAGAAAGCCGAGCAAAGCATGCACAGGTAAAGCAACAGAACGAAAACAGGAAAAGAGAAAGCAAGACCAAAACCAACCATTCGCAAGCCTCCCAACCAATCATTCTCGTCGTAGTTTTTGGACGCCGCCGTAGCAAGACGCGCCCCTCATCCTTCATACAAGTGTCCATGGCCTCGTGAAAATCTTCTTTGTCTTTGGTTTATGCAGTCTGGTGGTATCCAAGCGATCGTTCCAGGCAAGCGACCGTGAAGGGGGTATGTAGGCACAGCCCAGCGGGGCGTGCTGATGTCGTCAAATCGTGAATCTGCGCTTCCGAAACGAGAGCAGCAGGTGATGTGGTGGATCGGCCGTGAGGGTGCTCACTACTTTGTTTTTGGTAACCCAATACCGGCAAAAGAGAAAAATGAAAAAGAACCGTGATCTCTTGCAACTCGCTACCAACAACCAAAGGCAACATTTGGTTACCTGGCAAGGTAGCATGCCCCATGGCTCCATTCCTGGGTATAACCTATCTGAATCTGGTGCTCCAAACGATGACTTGAATGGTATAAAAAACTGCGGGGGAGAATTTTTGAATGCAGGAAAAACACAAGACTCTAATAGGATAGAAGCTGCAGGCTTCGGGGGCTCGATAGGGAGTCATCGACTTCGTGAGGCCTATCAACCTCATTGAAATGATCAGATGTCAGGCATCTCTGAAGTACCAGAGAGGACAAAACATCCACTGAGTCGTCAGAACGAGACCCTATCTAGGTCCTATCGTCTCAGCGAAAGAGCTGGCAGACGCTGACGCCGACATGCATCGGATTTCCCATCGCCAGTCGTCGGTCTGTGCGTCCCTTTCCGCACCGACCCACTTTTCGACCTTCCGGCGCCAGTGGAACTCTGCATCATGTTGTGCCTTGACAACCATCGGCCCAAGGTCAAACTCTTCACTAATCACGTTGTCCATGGTCGTCGAGGCAGACCCAGGGCCGCCAGCGCCCGTTGATAGTGCGCCAGCCCCGGCTTCGACCCTATTTTCGTCGTCTTTCAAATCATCAATGTCCGCGAAAGGGTCGTCGTCGTCGCCGATGGATGGCGTTGGCGAAAAAGGACCGCTGGCTCGCGCATCGAGCTTCAACCAACACATCCGACGAGGGTCGAAGACCATACCTCGCTCAACTTGTACTCCATGGGCAGCTCCGACAGGGGCAATGAGAGCCGGTCGAGGAGGAGAGCCGCTCTTGGTTGCCAGAGATGTTGGGGTTGGAAGTGAGGGTATCGAGTTGTTGTGTCGGTGGAGGGCGATTTGAGGCTGTGACACCGAGTGCGCATGGCCGGAAACATGACGGTGATTAATTGTCTCCATCGTCGCAGAGAAATGAGCGAGTGCGCTGTCGTTGCCTTCCCAACGCTTGAGGGCTGGGTTGTAGGTCATACCCTTCTCGGCTGCAAGGATCACAATTAGTGGAGACTCTCGAATCATGTAGAAATCTACTCACTTCTCGATACAGAATCATGTGTATGCTTGATCAGCGTTGGTTTCTGGCCCGTGCCTCTCTTGCGGTTGGCTTGCGGGCTGGTCTGCGGAGTCCGCGCAGCCACCTGCGTCTTCCAGTTCGTACTGACTGGCGCCAGCGGACCGTCATGACGCGAGCGAGGACCGCCAAGGCGTTGCTCTCGAGCAATCCGGCTCGCTGCGGTATCACGAGCGAAGCTTGGAAGGCTCTCTCGCTTAAGTGTCCTGCTCGGTGTTGGAGGCGGCTGCGGCGTGTGCATCCGCTCGGGAGGCTGCGGAAGCTTGCTCTGGCTGACTTGACGGAGCAGTTTGTTTGGAGGACGATTTGAAGGCTGCTTCAAGAAGCCACTCTCCTTTTGAACCGATGTGGGAAGGTCATCGAACAAGTCAAGTTCCGAACCATCTCCAAAGTTGCGTTTACGCGTCGGTTTCGTGTACTGACGTTTCGTCCTCGCCTCTTGCACCAATGACGCAGGTGCAATGTCCTTTCTGTTTCCACCCCTCCGAGGCGTATCAGGTCCTCGGCTCAGACGTGAGTGCGCGCGAGGAGTGGGTGAATGTGATCGAGGGTCAGACTCTCGGCGGAGGTGGCTGGGAGTCGGCTTGGTCGAGGGTTGGAATGGTTTGTTGTTGACACCAGATGAAAGAAACGGAGCCGAGTTTCTGCTGGATCTGTACTCGCTGCGGAGCACTGGAGCCGACCTTTTGGATCGGAGAAGGTGTGAGCTGGCAGTAGGTGGCGCTGCTCGGCCATTGCGGTTAGGCTGGGGAGCACCGGATTCGTAGACGGGGTCAAGTCTCGAGCGGGAGGAGATGGACGGAAGTGGTCTTGGAATGCGTGAAGATGAAGTATTTTTGTCCGTAAAGGT